CGTTGAGGCTGGAACACCCGCCCAACTCTTTGGGAACGCCACCCAAGCGGTTGCGGTCTACATTCAGGTTGGTCAGCTTCTTCAGCTTGCCCAGGGATCGAGGAAGTGACTTTGAGGTAAAAGAGGAGGAAGACGATACAAATATTTAATTATGGGTGGGGTCAAGGGTCAAATGTAAGATCCACCAGTGGGACAGAGACGTTAGGAGTCATGATCAACATCTGCTCACTTGTAAGAGGTTCTCTGTGAGGACGAGCTCCGTCAGGTTTTCACACTCTCCTATGGAGTCGGTCAGATGGGTCAGTCTGTTCTGGTCCACCTTCAGGATGGACAGCTGCTTCAGGCAGCCTGGAGACGACACACCACCGGTGAATTCATATACTTTAATAATTTTTAATCACGTGACTTAAAACCACAGTTAAATCTGCACATTGGTCACTCTTTTTGACTATTTCTATGTGAATCCTACAGTAAATGTCATTGTGAGCGAACAACTGGTATGTCACTCTTTTTGACTATTTCTAAGTGAATCCTACAGTAAATAAAATGTCATTGTGAGCGAACAACTGGTACACTAGGGGGCAGTGCTGCTCTTGCAGGTTGAAAGGGTCTTCACTTCTGCTGCACTGTGCTGCTATACTTGTTAATTGTAATATAAAAAAAAAACTCTTCAACAAGAACGTACACGAACTAAACAAGATTTTAAGTCACTTTCCTTATTTTCTCATGTCATCTCATCCACTGTTGTTTGGACAGTGGACTAGTTTTCCTCCCAGTTTCCTCCGGTGTGTGTGTGTGTGTGTTATTCACCTAACAGCTCTGGTACGACCTCCAGCATGTTCTGTGTGAGCAGCAGGTCGGTGAGCGCCAACAGACCGCTGATCTCCGAGGGAAGCTTCTCCAGACGGTTTTCCGACACATCCAGACACACCAGCCTCCGGAGGTTCCCCAGCTCCTACGGACCCGTGAATAAGAGTGTTAACAAAACACAAATCACCAGTATGATAAGTTGGGAGGAGGACGGGTTTTTTATTAGGGCAGCTTCTAAAAAAGTGTTGCTGTATCGAGGCTGTACTCACAGGTGGTAACGAGGACAACTGGTTCCGGTCCAGCCACAGCTCCCTCAGGTTGGGGAGAGCGCCAAGAGTGTTGGGCTAAAAGACAGGAGGAGGTTGAATGTTCAAATTGGAGCTCCAGAAAAAAAAAATGTAAAAACTTCTAAAGGAGGACAAAGGTCAGAGCACCAACAATTCCTGTTCCTTAAACAGACAAACTTCACTGCCAAATCAGAGTTATTGCATTTTAGAAATCTGTGAAAAACCCTAGTGTTGAACACCAGACGCATCACTTCCTGATCTAAACCAAAACCAAAACACTTCTTTTTCTGCTGGCTCAACACAGGGACGGAAAGGAAACCGGCAATCCTCCAATTACAGACCTGATCCTTTAACCACTGAGCCACAGCCTCAGATGTGGTTTTTAAACAGCTGAGTGGTTAATAATACATTTTTGTTTTTTTTTATGTTAAGTTGGGGGGATACGGGGGGGGGCGCTGACAGTGGAGCTGGGGCTTAATGCAGACATGCAGAAAGGCAAGGTTCCATCATGATGTCAGGCGTCTGCTCCGACCCCGCCCTCGTCAGATCATTAGCTTGTTTACCCTGTTCTATTGAGACAGGAAGGCGCTCCCAGATTACACGCCGCGCTCACACCGGGGTACAGCGCAGGCACGGCCTCAGGTCGGACGGACCGGCTCTGCCGTGTTTTGTTAACACGGTTTGGATCTTAACGAGCGCCGTGGGAATGTGACGGGGATATTTGCAGAATGTGTCAGAGTGTTTGCACACGGGAGAAACTTGATTACACTGTCAGACTGAGTAAAGGTCACAGGTGGGAGCAGCCCCATTACATAAACAGGGTGTCATTAAAATCATTTCTGTAACTCAAACATGTTCAAACGCTCATTACCAAAACTTCCAGTTCATTGCTGCCCAGGTCCAGTTGTTCCAGTTTCACCAGGAAAGACAGTGACCTGCAGGCGAGAACCGGAAGAGCACGGGGGTGATTAGAAAAAAAATGCAGATGCATTTGTGATTTACAATTCACATGCATGAGAATACCCAACGGGGACAAACAGACTTTGCTCAATTTGTTGCAAAACTAAAGGAGCACGGAACTCACGTGGGCAGAGACTTGAGCAGGTTCTCCCTGAGCTCCAGCGTCACCAGGTTGGCCAGGCTGTGGGAGGAGGGGAGTAAAGTGTGAAGGGGAGAAGAAGGAGAGGCAGACTGGTTAGTCAGATGGCATCTCTGTTCATCTGGGGTGCCTGGCATGGTGAGGGTCTCCACCATCTGCATCAGTGGCTAAAAGCCCACTAAGGCCTTCAGTGAATCAGACCAGTCTTCTTTGTATTACAGACCCATTTATGCTAATGGTGTTCCAATTGGATCATGAAAAAAAAAATAGACCCCGGGGGGGCAACTACAATTAAACGGCATTTAACTTAAATGTTTCCTAATGATTATTCATTAAGTGCAAACAACACAGACGTTTGTTATGTTGAGAACATGAGGACAAAAGTCAATATAATTTAGTCAGACTTTTATCGTTTTTCTTACGAACAATTATCAGCCAAACATTCACCACATTTTTTTATTTCTTCTCCACCGATTACAAACGTGGATTCCCGTTTGTCTGAAGTAGAAATTGGATGAACTTCTCTTAAACTGACCTTTAATCATACCTCATGTTAAAAAAAAACAAAAATAGAAGTAAAATGAGGACAGTCGGCCATTGGTGCACGTGTACGTACTTTCTTATGTCGTCGGGCAGCACTTGTAGTGACACATCATTGAGCGCCAAGTGAGCCAGCGCTCTGAGCTGAGTGAAACCATCTGGTAGTCTGTGGGAGAAAAGGCATGAGGGAGAGTGAGTGTCTACTTTGAACCCCCCCACTCTCTACTGACCCCTTCAGTTCACTCTAAAAATGTTCACCGTCACAGCTTTCGTCAGTGATTTTAAGCACGTAACAAAAGAAGAAGAAGATTTAATGATTTTCTCCTTAAATGACATTTTCTTCATTTTCATTCACTTCTCCGGCCAGTACGAGTATCTGCTTGTACTACCAAAGTACTGGGAGCTAATACTTCATACAAAGTAACAAAATCTTTCCACAAATCTATTTTTTTTTAGCTGCGCTGACACTGTCACTGGTGAAATATGTCAGAAAAACAAATATGGCGAGCAAACAACAATTTCCACTCTCTCCTCCTGGTGGTCCTGGTGGGCGTGCACAGCATTTTGTCACAGCGTTAAAGGAATGATTGATGGGTCGTTCCACTTGGCTCACCTGCAGACGGGGTTTCCACTGAAGTCTGCGATCTCTAAAGCCCGGCAAAATTTTATACTCTCAGGGATCTCAGGAATGTCTGCAGGAGAGAAAAATTTGACATTCTATAGACTGGATCATTTTAAGTTGTTTCTAATCTGAACCAGATGTTAGAGGGAGAGAAGAAGAAGAAGGAAGAAGAAGGAAGAAGAAGGAAGAAGAAGGAAGAAGAAGACAGAAGAAGAAAGGAAGAAGTAAAAGTTGCAGCAGGGAGGAGGAGGTTTTAAGTCATGAAGAAAGAAGAAGGAAGAAGGAGAAGAAGAAAGGAAGAACTAAAAGTTGCAGCAGGGAAGAGGAGGTTTAAAGTCATCGATTACTTTGTCAACTTTTTCCCATTAAGAAATAAATGTGAGTGAAATAAGACCTTGGCCTTGTCACACTCTCAGCTCATCTAACGGTAATGCTCTAAGTGCACGGACAAATGTACAGATATGGATCCACTGCACGCCAGTCCGACCGCTGCTTTCACCACTCATGATTGAAGCCTATAGGCCGTAGACAGAGCGCCTCACAGAGGTGAGGGAAGCATCGACAGGCCTGGACGTGAGGAGGAAGATCGGTGCGAAGTGACGCTGCACCAGACTACACCGTTAAATCATCGGAGAGGAATAACTGAAAATCAATACGTTGTGGTCACTACAGCCACACTGGCCTAAAAAAAAAATCAATTTTATTCTTTACAGATTTTACAATGAAACCCATTTTATTTGTTTAGTTGTGTTTTATGCCACGACTGATGGAGGTGAGGAGGAAGCACAACAGCGTCAGCATCAATAAGTAATGCCAGGAAGCTGCCATAGGGAGGCAGACTTTCTAAAGTCCATATAAATTAATATATAAATTGGGTGTCTCTAATCAGTGACCATGTGATGATCTTATGACCCACTTGTTGGTGAGTTCAGTCTGGGTGAAGGTAAGAATTGTTAAGGTGGTGTTTTCAGTGACGCACTAACATGAATGAATTTTTTTTTTTTTTGCCTACCGTTTCTGGAGATGTCCAGCTCCACCAGCTGCATGAAGTTGGCCACCTCGGGTGGGAGTCTTTGGATCTCATTGTCACTGAGACCGAGCTTCCGGAGGTTCAGTAGTCTGAAGAAAGGCTGCAAACAGGAGACAAAGGACACCTCATCAGTGGACTTCCTTTAGACATTTACTACAGGAGTGGATCACGATCCACAAAAACAAACACAAAAGTGATGGGAAGAGCTTGATAACCACCAATGGACAATAACTATTAGAAATATCACTTCATGTTTTCCATATTGACTTAATGGTAAAACTAAACCAAGGGCTTCCTCTTTATGGTGTCACTTTAAGAGGATTTAAACTCATCAAAAAGGTCTTTTATATTCAGAGAAGGGCTTTCTTGAGGAGATGTTTTTTTCTTTTTAAATACTTCATCATTATACTCTTCTGCACCAAGGCGCAGACAGCCAAACAAAGTGGCATTAGACGGGAGCCGAGGAGAGCGCTGCGTCTGCGGCCGTGCCAAGTGCTTCCACAAGAGCCTGGTTGTCGAACAGGACGGCTTTCAGAAGCATTCCTCTGGCAGCCGCTCTGTGAGTGTCTGTGTGTCATCTGTGGTTCAGACTGACAGTCGAGGAGGGCCGGTGGGGAGCAGCGAGCGTACGCGGCCAAAACTACTCAGTTATTAACCCTTCCATCAGTCGGCGCTCCTGCAGGAGACAGAGGAGCCACTGTCTGCTCCGGCTGAAGCTGCGGGGCAGCTCAGAGGCTGCGCGGAGGGAAGGAGCGTTCCTTTGACGACAGGATCCCATCCCACTTCCCGGTCCTGATTGTTGCACAAACATGTAGTGAATCAGATAAGGCCGAGACCTCTTTGATGTCGACTGTCAAGGTTGTCAAAAATGTTACAAACTGGGTGAAGTCGGGAGACGACTCTGCAATTACGCTGCCAGAGGAACGGCGGAGGTTCAGCTGATGACAGACACTTCCTGTTCTTAACTGGTTTGGACTGAACCGTGTTTAGACGGGACGACAACAACAGCAACAACAGCAAAGTTGTTTGTGTGAGGATTTCATCTATATTTGGTATTTGTTGCAATATTAAGCTTGTTAAATATTTCACAATATTCCCAGAATCTGCCCCTGGGCCTCCCTCACACTGGAGAACCCCACCTTCACTGGAAGGGGAATGGAACCAGGAATAAGGAGAGAACAACTGAAAAGGACAGAGCCGGGAGGGAGACAAAGAGGGCGTTGGCTCACGGAGCAGCAGGTGACAGGTATCAGGTGGCACGGACAGGAAACAGGAGCTGAGAGGACAAACACGTGATTGGACCAAACCCAGATGGGAGTCGGCACAGTGGAGGGAGGCGGGTGAGGGTAACCTTGGGGGCTGGGGGAACAGGTGACACTTGGAGAGGAAGATAAATTCACCTGAAAATATCATTTCAACCTCCAAAAAAGCTGCCTCAGCTGAAACAGCACTCTAAGGATATCACATTGACTCAGTGAAAAAAATGAATGTATTAGCGCACACACACACTTCCCTGCCCCCCCACTTTGATACCATCCAGACAATTATATCATTATTTTTCTGACTTGACTGATCTAGTGATTCCACAACAATGTTTTAGAGGCAACGAAAACTAAAGCTTTGATTTGGGAAAATTATTAGAATTATTTTTGCAATTGTTTCTTTAATTGATTCAAGTTGATTAATCGATGAATCAGTTCTTCTTTTACTGCATTAATACATGTTCTCACAGACAAAAAGACTTTACTACCAGTGCGGTCGGCTCACCGACCCAGTCAGCGGTTATGTAAACGTTAGTCTGGTCAGGTGTCACGTCAGTGAGAACCACAGTCGTTTCCTTTACGGCTCTGTAACTTCAGTGGAGTTCAACAGTGAAGCTCAAGAAAAAAAAAGAAAAAAAGGATCCAGTTGAGCAGGCAGATGAGGACATGCTTGCTGCGTCAGCAGAGGGCACTGTGGGGCGCAGATGAGGACATGCTGCGTCAGCAGAGGGCACTGTGGGGTCACTGAGCATGTACAGTAACATGTACTGTACACTACATCATACAGCTCACTTCTACCAGCAGGACAGAAACTACGGTAGGCAGTAGATTTTTTTTTTCATGTTCTATAAGAGGATTGAAATCAATTTCCGGCTCGCTGTGAACACAAGTGCATCATCAGCAAACATTTGTTCTGCAGCTAAACTAAGCAAAAAATAAAACAGGCTTCCGAGCTGGATATTGTTTGACTTGTTTGTCCGTTTCTAAGAACGTGACTTGTGTAACATTTCCCAGAACAGATTCCAGCGTTAAGATTTTCCAGAAAATCCCAGTTATTGTCTATGACTTTATATTATCATTTTTTTGTTGTTTTTTTTTAGTTCTATCAATGGAGATTTCTTTGCTTATTTTGATTAGCTTTTTGATAACCAAAGATATGTTACCGAGTACTCGTGAAGCTGTGACGTGACGCTACAACATCAACAACACATTGTTTGTTTCAGCGGGTGAAATATCCGAGTCACGCCTAAAGCCTCTCGAACAGCTTTACATTCCAGAGGAAAAAATGCATTCAGCAGATCACATTCAGCTGTTGCACGACGGTGACGAGAACTGACACAGCTGGACAGACACAGTTGGAAGTCTTGTACATACGGGAGGATACGAGTCTGTGTATTCGCCACAGAGGCCAAGTCGGACTAGTAAGTAATGGGTTCTGTGGTGTGGGTACTTATTTAAAATATCCCACATAATTATAGAGTGAAGGCTGCCCAGTCAACCATGAGCCACCTGTGTCGAAGAGATTTGTTTGAATTCTCTGATGACGAGATGAAGAGAGCACAAAAAATGTAGAATTACAAGTCTTGATACAAAGTTAAAATATGTTGGGTTTTTTTAAATTATTTTTATCTGTTCACAAAAATAACATTAATGGCGTCGAAAAGAATGTGACCTTTTAAAAATATTTTTCTTACAAACATTTTTGACAACTTTGTGTCCTTTTTGTGCATTAAAAGCATTAAAATGCAGGTTCCGAAGAATTTTAGATTTAGATAATAAATTATATCATCTTTACAGCCTCAATTTGATGAAATCCTAACCTTAAATTACCAGTTTTCAGTTGATGTAGCTATAATTTTTTTGCCACTTTCAGTCAGTAGAATGTTTGGTCCTGCTTGCTAACAGCAAAATTTACTCTTCACTTAAAAGTGCTTAATGTATGATCTACTAATTCACACTGCCTTGGTTTCTACTTCTACAAATGTTTAAGTTTACCGTCCATGGGCAGAGAAAATGATTGTCTGGAAGAATAAAAATCACTGTTGGTACTTTTATAGCATTGCACATGCACAGCACACGGAAATCTGGGGAACACGGTAGTGCGTAAACATACGTGCTGTTGTACTGGTGTGACTACAGCACCGGGGTAATGCGTTGGAGTGTTAATGAGTGTGTAAATGTGCAGCGTAAGAGGCTGTAAAATTCCTCGCATCGTTCCGCTCACTTAAATAAATGTGACTGCTTCGGACGCCCTAGAGGTAAAGTGGGGAAACAAGTGTGTCCACTGTATGTTCTCTGTACGAGAACGTTTCTCCGTCGGGGCAGTGAGCTGGAGCGCGGCGCTCACAGAGGCTGCAGTGTTTCCAGTCAAGTGATTCCATTTAGCTCAGGGTCGTCTCCACTCACGCCGTCAGACTGCAGTCTGAGCAGGACTCGCAAGAGACCGCTACTTAGCCTCCACTAGAGGACCGTGGAGTGTCTGGAGACTGTGGAGAAACTCCAGACCCCCAGCTCCATGTGTGTCCCACAGCATCAGCCTCGACTTCGGCTCATTGTTTGGAAACTCTACTGTATAAATATCCATTTAAATGTTCTTTTCTTCTGCACAGACACAGCCATAAACCAACAGGTCTGAACTCGTCGAGGCATTCAATCAACGAGGCCGCTGATTACACTGGCATCGTCACAGTTTTGCCAAATTTACAGCACCATAACAGTATTTGACGGCACTTCAAAAAAAAACAAAAAACACTGCAGGTTTTTTCAATTTACTCTCACACACACTTCCTTTTCTTTGCAATTCCTCTGGAATTCCTATTCACACGTCCGTAAGCCTTTTAATCTCGTGCCAAATCTGTCCCAACCTCCCGCCTAGTTTCAATGCCCCGGCTCCCCCCCCTTTCCAGTATCCATTCCCCTTACGATTGCTCAAAAACTCCACACTAAACCCCTAACACACCATTGGGTCGAGGGGCTCGAGGAGAGGGAGGTCAGGGTGGGGTCGGGCTACATGCTTTTGTGCTGATCTGGAGTCCCTCAGTGTCCAAACAAATGAAAAGAACAGAGAGGAATTGGTCGAGTGACTCACTTGGTCACTCACCCAAAATGTGAGGCTCATTATGGTACACACTCATTTCTACGGTCGGCCACAGCCGGTGTTGATGTATAAACTCCGTACATCGATAGCCGTGGAACACAAAACAGCTTTGGCATCAGGATTCGGCCTCGCTCGTCTTACTCAATCCAATAGTGCAGAGTTATTTGAAACTAAAAGCACATGCAGCAGCAGGAGTGAGTGAGTGAGTGAGTGAGCGAGTGCTCAGTCAATTCAAGGCCAACACTAATGGAGAAACACAGGCTGAAGCTGCACTTCTGTACAACCGGAGCATCCTTTCCCCCTTTGTTTTGGAGAAACCACAAAGTTCCAAAAAAAAAAAAAAAAAGTCCTACACATGAATGTTACTCTAACTGCTTCCTCCCCCCTTCCTCCTGCTCCACCTCCCTGGGTTCTCTCAATTTCTCTTGGCAGAAGGACAAAGGCCAAGCAGCGGCAGCGCCACACAGGGCTGTCAGTCACCAAGCAGCACCCCCCCATCCCGACCCCGAGCCCCCACCTTGCAGCCAGGCCCTGAGATTCCTCCATTGTCCAAACAGGGAACCGTGGTGCAGGGACAGAGAGGATCATGGAAATGTAGGGATGAGGACGGACATAAAAGAGGAAAGTGGAAAAGGGGAAGGAATAAAAGGCAGGGATGACTAAAGAGGACGGAGCCGGCAAGTGGGGAGAGGGAAGAAAAGAACGCTGGTGCGCGACACACAGAGTGATGAGTCCAAAGAA